CTGTGCCTGCAGCAGCCGGCCGGCGGCCTGCTTGCAGCGGGCTTGCGTCCGGCGGGGCTGGCAGCCCGCGGGCAGAGGCGCCTGCGGCCGCTTCTCCCGCGGGGTGAGGCGCCGCAGGGCAGCGGCGCTTGCTGCCGTTGCTCCCGCGGGCGAAACCCTCCCCCCCACAAGGGCGGCCGCCCGGCGGGACAGCACCCCCTGCGGAGGCAGCGGCGCCCGAAGGGGGCGCCCACCCGCAGCGACAGCGCCGCCAGCGGGCGTGCCGCCTGCAGGTGAGGGCAGTGCCCTCATTCACCGCACAGGCCGCCGCCGGCTGGGTGGCAGCAGCGGCACCGGCAAAGGATAGTAGGGCATTAGGGTTTTCTGGGAAAAAAGACAGTTTTACCTCTCGAAATTTAAGAAATTCCAGTTTCTCTCTTTTGTCCAAATTACGAAAATACCCCTATCAATTCAGAAATTCCCTACCTGTCCCAGATTTCAGAAAATATTAATTAATTAAAAGGTTTAGTTGATTATTATTTTTTATTATTATCTAGTAGTCCTACATGATGATGATTATTTATACATGTGATGTATGATGTGTGGACGGATGATCATGGACCGTGTGATTTGTGTACTTATGATTATTATTATTAAGGTCTGCGAGCCTCCATTATATTTCTCGTTTATTGTCGGGCTTGCGTGCCTATGATTAAGTTGTAATCACATGAGGAGGCACAGCGGGAGCGTGGATGCGATAGTGGGACCCACGAGACGGACGATCGCGATGCATGAAGATGCATCAAGATGTCGACGGAACCGACGATGACGAGATGGACGATCACAGGGCATGGAGATGCACCGTTGCACACATAGATCTTGATGTGAGTGATTAGGCCTACTGGCTCGGGCCTAATCACATTAGGTTGTGGTCCATTTTCATCTAGTGTAATTGATTATACACATACTAGATAAGTATATATATTTGCATGCGATGTAGATATATATTAAATATGTATATGTGTGACATGTCATATTAGGAGATCAAATCTTAGAAACATCTCTCGATAATATTAAGTCGGTAAACGTGAGGCAATTAGATTGACCCATGTGGCCTTCCATCGTTATAAGTAGGAACCGATTCCCGGTGTAGGTTGAGTTGGTCGAGTCCCTCGAGACTCACCTATATCGCGATTCGCTATCTTGCTTACGACATAGAGATGTCACCGGTGACCTAAGGGCATGGTATACTTGGTCGAGTCCCTCGAGGGTATATCATCAAATCAGACTCATCTTGTAACGAAGGTGTTGACTTAACCGAGCATCATGGTTGGTCGAGTCCGTCGAGACCATGGTGATTCGGAGGCCGAACAGGACGGGAATCACAAGGAGTTGTGATTGGTAAGAGTTGCCTACCTTTTAGGCTTAGTGTGATTGGTCGAGTCCCTCGAGGTTACACTAAGACGCTGATTGGATCCTGATCCCCA